TTTCCTAACTGCAACTCTTTTCTTACTCTTTGATCATTTTTGCTTCATGGACACCTAATTATAAATTTGTACCTATAGAATACTAAATCCACCAATTAAAAAAGAAATATAAATTAATCCATAAAAAAATCCACGTAAACGTAAACGTTGAGTGTTATTTCTACACTCCACTGTATCTTTTGTATCTTGTGTTTTTGCTGTTGTTTGGTTATGCGTATTAAAGTCCTCGTGTTGTACTTCGTGTTTTTAAGAACGTTGTTGCGAATGCACTTTTGCGCATGTTTTTTTACATGTACATTTGTGCATGTCCATTTGAGCGAGTGTGTTTGTGCATGTTTGTTGATTTGTATTAATGTCCTAGGATTGTAGTTTGCGTTTTCATGATCCTTTTTGCGAATGCAGTTTTGCGTGAGTAATTTTGTGCATGACTTTGTAATTTTACTTATGTGCGTATCTTTTGTAGCGAGTGTTTTTGTGCACGTTTCTTGATGCGCATTCGTGTCCTCGAGCTGTAGCGGGTATTTTCATGATCGCTGTTGGAATCCAATTTTGACCATGTTCGAGTCCGAATTTGGAAATTTGACATTAGACAGGAATTGTAGCCAGCTCAAATAGCTTTCTAATGCCGCCGGAACCAGTCGATTTGGAGTCCGGATGAGAAAGTTATGCTCGACTTCGTGGACGCTACCGAAGATGTTGAGGGATCCTCTCTTCTAATTTGATTTTATTTTCCTAATTGCAACTCTTTTCTCACTCTTTGATCATTTTTGCTTCATGGACACCTAATTATAAATTTTGTACCTATAGAATACTAAATCCACCAATTAAAAAAGAAATATAAATTAATCCATAAAAAAATCCACGTAAACGTAAACGTTGAGTGTTATTTCTACACTACACTGTATCTTTTGTATCTTGTGTTTTTGCTGTTGTTTGGTTATGCGTATTAAAGTCCTCGTGTTGTACTTCGTGTTTTTAAGAACGTTGTTGCGAATGCACTTTTGCGCATGTTTTTTTACATGTACATTTGTGCATGTCCATTTGAGCGAGTGTGTTTGTGCATGTTTGTTGATTTGTATTAATGTCCTAGGATTGTAGTTTGCGTTTTCATGATCCTTTTTGCGAATGCAGTTTTGCGTGAGTAATTTTGTGCATGACTTTGTACTTTTACTTATGTGCGTATCTTTTGTAGCGAGTGTTTTTGTGCACGTTTCTTGATGCGCATTCGTGTCCTCGAGCTGTATCGGGTATTTTCATGATCGCTGTTGGAATCCAATTTTGACCATGTTCGAGTCCGAATTTGGAAATTTGACATTAGACAGGAACTGTAGCCAGCTCAAGTAGCTTTCTAATGCCGCCGGAACCAGTCGATTTGGAGTCCGGATGAGAAAGTTATGCTCGACTTCGTGGACGCTACCGAAGATGTTGAGGGATCCTCTCTTCTAATTTGATTTTATTTTCCTAATTGCAACTCTTTTCTTACTCTTTGATCATTTTTGCTTCATGGACACGTAATTATCAATTTGTACCTATAGAATACTAAATCCACCAATTAAAAAAGAAATATAAATTAATCCATAAAAAAATCCACGTAAACGTAAACGTTGAGTGTTATTTCTACACTACACTGTATCTTTTGTATCCTGTGTTTTTGCTGTTGTTTGGTTATGCGTATTAAAGTCCTCGTGTTGTACTTCGTGTTTTTAAGAACGTTGTTGCGAATGCACTTTTGCGCATGTTTTTTTACATGTACATTTGTGCATGTCCATTTGAGCGAGTGTGTTTGTGTATGTTTGTTGATTTGTATTAATGTCCTAGGATTGTAGTTTGCGTTTTCATGATCCTTTTTGCGAATGCAGTTTTGCGTGAGTAATTTTGTGCATGACTTTGTACTTTTACTTATGTGCGTATCTTTTGTAGCGAGTGTTTTTGTGCACGTTTCTTGATGCGCATTCGTGTCCTCGAGCTGTATCGGGTATTTTCATGATCGCTGTTGGAATCCAATTTTGACCATGTTCGAGTCCGAATTTGGAAATTTGACATTAGACAAGAACTGTAGCCAGCTCAAGTAGCTTTCTAATGCCGCCTGAACCAGTCGATTTGGAGTCCGGATGAGAAAGTTATGCTCGACTTCGTGGACGCTACCGAAGATGTTGAGGGATCCTCTCTTCTAATTTGATTTTATTTTCCTAACTGCAACTCTTTTCTTACTCTTTGATCATTTTTGCTTCATGGACGCGTAATTATCAATTTGTACCTATAGAATACTAAATCCACCAATAAAAAAGAAATATAAATAATCCCTATAAAAAATCCAGGTATACGTATACGTTGAGTGTTATTTCTACACTACACTGTATCTTTTGTATCTTGTGTTTTTGCTGTTGTTTGGTTATGCGTATTAAAGTCCTCGTGTTGTACTTCGTGTTTTTAAGAACGTTGTTGCGAATGCACTTTTGCGCATGTTTTTTTACATGTACATTTGTGCATGTCCATTTGAGCGAGTGTGTTTGTGCATGTTTGTTGATTTGTATTAATGTCCTAGGATTGTAGTTTGCGTTTTCATGATCCTTTTTGCGAATGCAGTTTTGCGTGAGTAATTTTGTGCATGACTTTGTACTTTTACTTATGTGCGTATCTTTTGTAGCGAGTGTTTTTGTGCACGTTTCTTGATGCGCATTCGTGTCCTCGAGCTGTATCGGGTATTTTCATGATCGCTGTTGGTATCCAATTATGACCATGTTCGAGTCCGAATTTGGAAATTAGACATTAGACAGGAATTGTAGCCAGCTCAAATAGCTTTCTAATGCCGCCGGTAACAGTCGATTTGGAGTCCGAATGAGAAAGTTATGCTCGACTTAGTGGACGCTACCGAAGATGTTGAGGGATCCTCTCTTCTATTTTGATTTTATTTTCCTAATTGCAACTCTTTTCTTACTCTTTGATCATTTCTGCTTCATGGACACCTAATTATAAATTTGTACCTATAGAATACTAAATCCACCAATTAAAAAAGAAATATAAATTAATCCATAAAAAAATCCACGTAAACGTAAACGTTGAGTGTTATTTCTACACTACACTGTATCTTTTGTATCTTGTGTTTTTGCTGTTGTTTGGTTATGCGTATTAAAGTCCTCGTGTTGTACTTCGTGTTTTTAAGAACGTTGTTGCGAATGCACTTTTGCGCATGTTTTTTTACATGTACATTTGTGCATGTCCATTTGAGCGAGTGTGTTTGTGCATGTTTGTTGATTTGTATTAATGTCCTAGGATTGTAGTTTGCGTTTTCATGATCCTTTTTGCGAATGCAGTTTTGCGTGAGTAATTTTGTGCATGACTTTTTACTTTTACTTATGTGCGTATCTTTTGTAGCGAGTGTTTTTGTGCACGTTTCTTGATGCGCATTCGTGTCCTCGAACTGTAGCGGGTATTTTCATGATCGCTGTTGGAATCCAATTTTGACCATGTTCGAGTCCGAATTTGGAAATTTGACATTAGACAGGAATTGTAGCCAGCTCAAATAGCTTTCTATGCCGCCGGAACCAGTCGATTTGGAGTCCGGATGAGAAAGTTATGCTCGACTTCGTGGACGCTACCGAAGATGTTGAGGGATCCTCTCTTCTATTTTGATTTTATTTTCCTAAGTGCAACTCTTTTCTTACTCTTTTATCATTTTTGCTTCATGGACACCTAATTATCAATTTGTGCCTATAGAATACTAAATCCACCAATTAAAAAAGAAATATAAATTAATCCATAAAAAAATGCACGTAAACGTAAACGCTGAGTGTTATTTCTACACTCCACTATATCTTTTGTATCTTGTGTTTTTGCTGTTGTTTGGTTATGCGTATTAAAGTCCTCGTGTTGTACTTCGTGTTTTTAAGAACGTTGTTGCGAATGCACTTTTGCGCATGTTTTTTTACATTGTACATTTGTGCATGTCCATTTGAGCGAGTGTGTTTGTTGTGCATGTTTGTTGATTTGTATTAATGTCCTAGGATTGTAGTTTGCGTTTTCATGATCCTTTTTGCGAATGCAGTTTTGCGTGAGTAATTTTGTGCATGACTTTGTACTTTTACTTATGTGCGTATCTTTTGTAGCGAGTGTTTTTGTGCACGTTTCTTGATGCGCATTCGTGTCCTCGAACTGTAGCGGGTATTTTCATGATCGCTGTTGGAATCCAATTTTGACCATGTTCGGGTCCGAATTTGGAAATTTGACATTAGACAGGAATTGTAGCCAGCTCAAATAGCTTTCTAATGCCGCCGGAACCAGTCGATTTGGAGTCCGGATGAGAAAGTTATGCTCGACTTCGTGGACGCTACCGAAGATGTTGAGGGATCCTCTCTTCTAATTTGATTTTATTTTCCTAATTGCAACTCTTTTCTTACTCTTTGATCATTTTTGCTTCATGGACACCTAATTATCAATTTGTACCTATAGAATACTAAATCCACCAATTAAAAAAGAAATATAAATTAATCCATAAAAAAATCCACGTAAACGTAAACGTTGAGTGTTATTTCTACTCTCCACTATATCTTTTGTTTCTTGTGTTTTTGCTGTTGTTTGGTTATGCGTACTAAAGTCCTCGTGTTGTACTTCGTGTTTTTAAGAACGTTGTTGCGAATGCACTTTTGCGCATGTTTTTTTACATGTACATTTGTGCATGTCCATTTGAGCGAGTGTGTTTGTGCATGTTTGTTGATTTGTATTAATGTCCTAGGATTGTAGTTTCACTACAAGAAAAACTAGTTTCAGTGACCAAATTCTCAGCGACCATAACTAAATGGTCACTGAATGTTGACATTTAGTGACCAAAAGTAATTTTGTAGCAAAAGTGAGAAGGGTTAAATCTTGTTGCGACCAGCGAACATTTGGTAGCTATAAGTGGTCACTAATAGTTAGACATCTTGTAGCAACTAAAGTTAAAGTTTGTAGCGATCATTATTATGGTCACTATAACTTAGTGTCAATAGTGACCAATTTAACATCATTTTTTTTACGGTTGCTACGAGTCTTTAATTTAATTATTAACAACCATTTGATTGGGTTGCTAGCAACCACTTGAATTTGGTTACTATGAAACTACTTACGGAAATCAAATCGATATGGTCACTTGTTTAATTTTTAAACAAATCAAGAAAAGAAAAGAAAATAAAAGAAAGCTGTGGGCGAAAATGAAAATAATGAAAAAATACAGCCATTATCATTCTTTCATTTCTTCATCACAAAACATTACCCTGTTCACTCTCTCCTTACGCTCTCTTTCTCTCTCTTTACCAATTCTCGCATAAAACAAAAGTAGTAAATTGCAACAAGAAGCAAACATTGGAATTGAAGACGAGGGCGTCCCAACCTCCGGCATAAACAGACCTCTTTCCAATATTCTCAAAGATTTGAACAAGAAAGTGCCCGAAACCCTCCTAAGGCACCGCACCCATCCCGATGGCTTCTCCTTCAAATACATCCCCTGGTCTCTCTCTCTCTCTCTCTCTCTCTCTCTCTCTCTCTCTCTCTCTCTCTCTATATATATATATATATATATATATATATATATATATATATATATATATATATATATATATATATTTCTCTCAAATTTAATTTATGTTTAATTAGAAAGTTTTGGATTCAAAAAAATAAATTAATTATTCATAACTCACAAGAGGTGTGTGTATGAACTTGTATTCGTTGCAGGCACATATTGAATCGGATTATGAACTTAATTATCTCTTAATTTCTTCATTATGTTTGCACCAAAATCTCTCTTATCTTACCTCTTTTGTTTTCCCCAAAAGTATTCACCTATTTCACCCAATGTCTCCAAGCCCTAGTTCCTACCCCTGTTCGATAATTTTCGAATTCAATAAAGGAGATCAGGAAGATTTGATTACAGGAAAAGAATTGGGGATTTGAAAAGATAATTTCAGATTTGGGTTTTAAGGAAAAATAATAGTTTGGAGACCTTCGAGAATGAATCTCGTCGATCAGGACCCACCTTTGGAATAATTGTGAGTTCAGATGTACATCGGTGTTGGTGATTTCTGGCAAAGGTCGCCGATGGTGGCCGTAATCTGGAGTTCAGCTTTTGGCTCTTCAAAGAATTAAATGAACGGTGGAGTATTGATGATAGAAGGTACTGTTACAAACCTCGAGAAGTTAGCTTCCCAGTAATGGTGGTGCTAGGCAGTTTTATTCGGCGGTGGTCGTCGAAATTTGGTGTGAAATTCAGCCTGCTCGCCGGAAAGGGAAATAAAATCTGCTACCGCATCTGTTTTCGGAGCCGAAATCGAAAGGTTTGGAGTGTGAATTTGGTAATCATTCCTTCTCGAAACTCGTAGAGGACCTCGAAAACTGTGAGCAAGTGTTTAATTATTTCCAATTCGAGCATGTGATATAGCCTTTAGGGGTCGGAAACAAACTACAGCGAATCTGTCAAAAAACATGGCAGTTTTGCCTAATCATCATACGGAGCTGTTTTTGTTGTGTTGGAGTAATAATTTAGGCAATGTGTTTTCTGATGTTTTTTATATTGAGTTGTGAGGTTTGATTTGGTATATTATTTGGTCGATTTGGATAACTCTACAAATTGTTATGATTTTTCAAATAAACTGTGACAGCAAACAAGTTTGTCCAAAACAATTCTGGCAGTTTTCTGTATTCAACTTTTCGGGCTGTTATTGTTGTGTTATCTTAGTAATTGGGGGTTGGTATCTTCATCACAATTGTAGATAAAGTTGTGAACTTTTATTTGGTATATTATTTTCCCTATTTGGATAAGCGTACGGCCTGCTACGATTTTTGGACGAAAATGTGACAACAAATAACGTTGGTTTCTAGTTTAATGTCCATAGTTAGCATCTATACGTGTCATTAGTTATTTGAGTAATTATTTATTTGAAATTTGTCTTATGCACATTGAGCAACAAGTTTAAAGTAATGTGGTTGAAGGTGAATCTTAAGAAACTAATGGATTCTTATTTCAGGTGTGTCATTCGTGGTTGTGTACCTAAGAAAATTTTGGTCTATGATGTTGCTTTTGGTGCTAACTCGAGATGAGAAGACTTTGTTGTTTGTGAAAGACTTTGTTAGTTATTTCTTCAAGTTATATAACCAAATTTAACACGACAGCTATGTTGGCGAAATTCAGAGAAATAGTAAACCTTCTGCCGCACCTGTTTTCGGAGCCGAAATCGAAGGGTTTCGAGTGAGATTTTCGAATCAGTCTCTTCACAAAACTCGTCGAGGACCGTGATAATTATATGTAAGTGTTAAATTGCTTCTAATTCGAGCAAGTTTTATAGCCTTTTAGAGATGAGAATTTGACGGCAGTGAGTCTGCCAAAAACAGGGCAGTTTTGATGAAGCATCTTCGTTGGGTTTTATTACCGTCTTAGGATAATAGTTTGGGATATATTTCTTAAGTAAACTTTTAGATGAAGTTGTCAGCTTTGATTTGCTATATTGTTTGGCCAATTTGGATAACTTTACAAATAGTTATGAATTTTACAATAAACTGTACCAGAAAAGAGAATTTATCCGAAATTCTGGCAGTTTTATGTAATCATCTTTTGGGCCTGTTTTGAATATGCTGGGATCATAATTTGTGATCTGAGTCTTCAGTGAACATGTAGATGCAGTTGTTAGTTTTCATTTGTCATATTACTTTCCCAATTTGGATAATCGTACCAATTGTTATGATTTTTCAAAGAAATTGTGGAAACAAATGTTTTAAACCTTTGTATCAAGAACTCGTCAAACAAACACGAGTCAACTCCGTACCATGTGAATTGATCGATGCCTGGAGTGTGTTGTATTTGGTAAATAGAACGCCATAGAAATTGTGTATTATGTTCGATTGTCAGTTATGGCATAAGATTTAAGTTAGGATGTTTATATGAAATAGAACCGAATAGTAAACGATTATGACATTCGATAACTTATTTAATTCTAATATTTGATAGCTACTTATGCAAGAGCGCAGATACATTATTGAATTTTGAGTGCTACTAAGTGACAAATGATTGGAATTGATTCTATCATATGATTTCTTATTTTCTAATTGATTTTTTCCCTTTTTTAGGTTGGACTGTTTGATGAAGTGAAAGAACGTTATCGTGGAAGTCATATTTGTTGTCGCTTAACAATTTATGAAGTGGAATTTATTATGAAATAATTACAGTCATCTTTCTTATTATTTGGAATGATTGATTTATTATTGTATTTAGTATGATAGATTGAAATTATAATATTCACATTTAATTGATAATATGTAAATTTGAAATCTTTAGTTTTATTTTAATTTTTTTTACTGTTGCAAATAAACATTAATGATTAATGCAACCAATTAATTATTGGTCTGAATTGGTCAGTAAATTTAATAATTGTCGAAATCATGTAAAAACTATTGCAACAATAATATGGTCACTATATGTATATTATGTAGCAACCAAAAAATGTGGTGGCCAAATATATATCCTATAGAAACAATAAAATATGGTCACTATATATGTATATATCATTTAGCGACCAAAATTATATGGCCACTATATATGTTGCTATAGCAACCATGTTAATATTATTGCCACCATAAAATTTACATTAGCGAGTCAAAAACTGGTCGTTAATAATTATATTATTAGTGGCCATTATTAGTTCGCCGCTAAATCTCATCTTTTAGCGTCCAATTAATTTTCTTGTCACTGAGTACTTTTAGTAGCTACCCTGTTGTGACCAACGGTGACCAAGCTTAATTTGGTCGCTTGAAGTTTTAGCTACCATTTTCTAACTTTTAGCGACCATACAAAATCGTCACTAAAACCAATATTTGTTGTAGTGTTTGCGTTTTCATGATCCTTTTTGCGAATGCAGTTTTGCGTGAGTAATTTTGTGCATGACTTTGTACTTTTACTTATGTGCGTATCTTTTGTAGCGAGTGTTTTTGTGCACGTTTCTTGATGCGCATTCGTGTCCTCGAACTGTAGCGGGTATTTTCATGATCGCTGTTGGAATCCAATTTTGACCATGTTCGAGTCCGAATTTGGAAATTTGACATTAGACAGGAATTGTAGCCAGCTCAAATAGCTTTCTAATGCCGCCGGAACCAGTCGATTTGGAGTCCGGATGAGAAAGTTATGCTCGACTTCGTGGACGCTACCGAAGATGTTGAGGGATCCTCTCTTCTAATTTGATTTTATTTTCCTCATTGCAACTCTTTTCTTACTCTTTGATCATTTTTGCTTCATGGACACGTAATTATCAATTTGTACCTATAGAATACTAAATCCACCAATTAAAAAAGAAATATAAATTAACCCATAAAAAAATCCACGTAAACGTAAACGTTGAGTGTTATTTCTACACTCCACTGTATCTTTTGTATCTTGTGTTTTTGCTGTTGTTTGGTTATGCGTATTAAAGTCCTCGTGTTGTACTTCGTGTTGTTAAGAACGTTGTTGCGAATGCACTTTTGCGCATGTTTTTTTACATGTACATTTGTGCATGTCCATTTGAGCGAGTGTGTTTGTGCATGTTTGTTGATTTGTATTAATGTCCTAGGATTGTAGTTTGCGTTTTCATGATCCTTTTTGCGAATGCAGTTTTGCGTGAGTAATTTTGTGCATGACTTTGTACTTTTACTTATGTGCGTATCTTTTGTAGCGAGTGTTTTTGTGCACGTTTCTTGATGCGCATTCGTGTCCTCGAACTGTAGCGGGTATTTTCATGATCGCTGTTGGAATCAAATTTTGACCATGTCCGAGTCCGAATTTGGAAATTTGACATTAGACAGGAATTGTAGCCAGCTCAAATAGCTTTCTAATGCCGTCGGAACGATTCGATTTGGAGTCCGGATGAGAAAGTTATGCTCGACTTCGTGGACGCTACCGAAGATGTTGAGGGATCCTCTCTTCTATTTTGATTTTATTTTCCTAATTGCAACTCTTTTCTTACTCTTTGATCATTTTTGCTTCATGGACACCTAATTAACAATTTGTACCTATAGAATACTAAATCCACCAATTAAAAAAGAAATATAAATTAATCCATAAAAAAATCCACGTAAACGTAAACGTTGAGTGTTATTTCTACACTCCACTATATCTTTTGTATCTTGTGTTTTTGGTGTTGTTTGGTTATGCGTATTAAAGTCCTCGTGTTGTACTTCGTGTTTTTAAGAACGTTGTTGCGAATGCACTTTTGCGCATGTTTTTTTACATTGTACATTTGTGCATGTCCATTTGAGCGAGTGTGTTTGTTGTGCATGTTTGTTGATTTGTATTAATGTCCTAGGATTGTAGTTTGCGTTTTCATGATCCTTTTTGCGAATGCAGTTTTGCGTGAGTAATTTTGTGCATGATTTTGTACTTTTACTTATGTGCGTATCTTTTGTAGCGAGTTTTGTTGTGCACGTATCTTGATGCGCATTCGTGTCCTCGAACTGTAGCGGGTATTTTCATGATCGCTGTTGGAATCCAATTTTGACCATGTTCGAGTCCGAATTTGGAAATTTGACATTAGACAGGAATTGTAGCCAGCTCAAATAGCTTTCTAATGCCATCGGAACGATTCGATTTGGAGTCCGGATGAGAAAGTTATGCTCGACTTCGTGGACGCTACCGAAGATGTTGAGGGATCCTCTCTTCTATTTTGATTTTATTTTCCTAATTGCAACTCTTTTCTTACTCTTTGATCATTTTTGTTTCATAGACACCTAATTATCAATTTGTACCTATAGAATACTAAATCCACCAATTAAAAAAGAAATATAAATTAATCCATAAAAAAATCCACGTAAACGTAAACGTTGAGTGTTATTTCTACACTCCACTGTATCTTTTGTATCTTGTGTTTTTGTTGTTGTTTGGTTATGCGTATTAAAGTCCTCGTATTGTACTTCGTGTTTTTAAGAACGTTGTTGCGAATGCACTTTTGCGCATGTTTTTTTACATGTACATTTGTGCATGTCCATTTGAGCGAGTGCTTTTGTGCATGTTTGTTGATTTGTATTAATGTCCTAGGATTGTAGTTTGCGTTTTCATGATCCTTTTTGCGAATGCAGTTTTGCATGAGTAATTTTGTGCATGATTTTGTACTTTTACTTATGTGCGTATCTTTTGTAGCGAGAGTTTTTGTGCACTTTTCTTGATGCACATTCGTGTCCTCGAACTGTAGCGCGTATTTTCATGATCGCTGTTGGAATCCAATTTTGACCATGTTCGGGTCCGAATTTGGAAATTTGACATTAGACAGGAATTGTAGCCAGCTGAAATATCTTTCT